AAAACATATGCAAAAGTAGACAGAATAATATAACAAATGCCTATATATTCATCATAAAACTTCTAAAATGAACATCCCATGGCCAGTCTTGTTTGTACCCCATTTCCCAGCATTAGTATTACCCTTCAGCTCTGCATGATTTTGAACTGAATACCAGAAATCATATTATGTCACCCTTTACTTCTTTTAAAATTATGACAAAAGTCCTTGACACAAGCTTCATGTGGGGAAAATGTAGTGGTTATACTTTTAATGTGACAAATAAAAAAAAAGACATTTGATTTATATTTTAATGTAATTTGATATAAAATAGCTATGCAAAATATCTATTATCAAAACCCTAGGTAGGGGCCAGCATTGTGGTGTCACAGGTTAAGCTGCCACCTACAGTGCCAGCAAACACATGTGGGCATCTGTTTGAGTTTGGCAGCTCCTCTTCTGTTGCAGCTCCCTGCTAATGCACCTGGGAAGGCAGTGGAATGCTTCAGTCCTAGGGACCCTGCACTCACATGAGAGACCCAGATGAAGCTCCTGGGTCCTGCTTTCAGCCTTGCCCAACCCTGGCCACTGTGGCCACTTGGAGAGTGAATCTGCAGATAGACCTTTCTAACTCTCCCTCTCTTTCTCTGTAATTCTGCCTTTCAAATAAATAAAATTAAATATTTACACAAAAATGTATAAAAAATATCCTTGAAAAAAATATCCTTGGTAATATCAAAAAAGGCAGAAATTGGTCTTTCCCCTCTTGCTGAAATATTGGGAGGTAGCTAGGAAGAATAAACGGAATAGCCAGCTAGTCCCCACGTTGACCAGGTGTCTTAGCCAGAACAACTCGATTTACTTCACTCATGCAGTATTGTAGCAGGATGGGTTTGATTCTTCAATGGTCACTGGATTATTGAGATTTCACCAAGTGTATAGTTTAGCTGAGTTTAGGATAAAAGTAGAACAGCAGATTCATACGACATGTGGAAGAATATGTTGGGGGCAAAAGTCATATTTGTCCCTATGGACTCTCTTGATATCAGCCTTCATCCTGCTATGAAAAAGATCAAAGTTCATTTTTACACTCCTGGGAAATTTAGAAGGCAGGGCAGATGAGGACAGTAAAACACAGACCACTTTAGACCTCTAGGGAGACTGCGATGAGGAGACCTGCAACGTGTTTCTTTATCTTTTCTTTTATGATGCCTCATGTTCTCCTCCTGGTTGCTATTATGAGACAGAAGTGGAACTTTCCATGAATTGTGTGGACTTCAGTGGGGATCTCCACTGAATAAATCAGCCTGCAAGCCACCTTGCAGGTAGCTCAGTTCAGGCTTTTTGTTGTTTTTATTTTTTGTAATAGAAAGAAATGATGGATGTCAGAAGAGGACTGGATTTCTAAGTCCCAGTGAGGGGAGTCTCCACAGACAGCCTAATGCAGAGGGGAAAGGGAGGGAGGTACAGAGCTTGTCTCTAACTCTGCGAAAGGAGGGCAAGCGGTCAGTTTGGGAGCCCCAAGAGTAGAAGAAATCTCTGCTCTGCTCTGTCCCCTCCTCTCACACCCTTAGGGAGATCGGCCCAGGTGCCAGACTCCTCGACTCAGTAGAACCCCAGTGCTCACTTCAGCACTGGAGCTCTGACAGCAGGGACCGGGGAAACAGCCTACCAAGCACCAATGATGGCCATTGTAGACTGAACGCTGGGGGTTTCTTTGTGTGTTCTCAATTACGTAAGGGTTTCAGGAGCTACACTGGACCTACAGGAAAGGAGTAATCTAGCCCCAGGCGTTATCCAAATTGGTGTTCCCACAGCTTCTTGCTCAGAATAAACGCAATTTAGAGAAAGTTGTGCTATTTCTTACACCTAAGATGTGGAGTAAAAATCATGACAGCAGCATTTTATACGTTGCCTGTTACACTTTTTCAGATTTTGGAAGAATCATCAGAAGTACTAAAGGGAGATTCTTTCAGTAGGATTACTTATATTTCTGGTTTTGAAGATTTTTTTTCCAAATGTTATGGACTGTATTTTGTAACCTCCCTCAGCCCTCCACTTATGTTGAAGCCCTTGTCCCCAGTGGGGCTGTATGTGGAGATCAGTCCTTTAAAGAAGTAGTTGAGGTTAAAGGAGGTCCTAAGGGTAGGGCTCTAATCTAGTCTGACTGATGCTGCCATAAGAAGAAAAGACATCAGAGCTCCACATGCACGGAGAAGAGGCCATGTGAGGACACGGGGAGGAGCAGGCCATTTGCAGGGAGAGAGACCTCAGGAGAAACCAAACCTGCTGACACCTTGGTCTTGCACTTCAGCCTGTAGAACCGTGAGAAAATGCATTTCTGTTGATTAAGCCACCTAGTCTGTGTTATTTGGTTTTGGCGGCCCCAGAAAATTATTATAGAAGCATTGAATTCTTTCATGTGTAGGTCTTTATTCTCAGAAAGTCTACAGTTTTGTACTCTGCTAAACATGTGATAGCTGTGTGGAATTTACACTTTACTAGGTGAAATGATTCACTTTTTGAAAAGTGTATTGCAAGGGGCTGCAGGATATATGAGGATGCCACTGGCCAAACACAGAGAAAACCATTGCTGCTCAAACAGTGAGTAAAAATAATAGCAGAGGAAGTGCATATGCAGAGTGGGGAGCTCAACTACTGTAAGTTAAAACAGTTAGTAAGCTTCCCAGGTACCATGGTAATGCAAGCATCACATTAACGTTTGTTAACATGAAAGTGCTGAATACCTGGTAGCTAACTAGGGAGATGATATTTAATTAAAAGAATTATTTTCTTACTCCCATATTTTTATGGTGCTATTATAATTCGGCTTGAAACCTTTAAAGACTAAGACTCAATCTACTTCAGATTTATAGGCCTATATGACTGCTAGAAAAAAATTTCATTAAGCTGTCACAAAAGGGCTAGGAAAAATACATTTATACGTTAGTAAACTATAAGTGACTAGAAATCATGTTTGTATCTTTGATTGCTTTAATGCATTGTAATAGAGATAAAGAAATGCATATACTGATAGGACTGTAGACTAAAGACTACATTTTGCAATCAACATATTAATTGTATCACTTTATAATTATACACTGTATGTGAGTGAAAACCTGCAAGTAGGTTTAGTTTATACTTGTGCTGATACACTGACAAAAATTGAAACTTTCCAAATATCTAGATATATCTGATTATCTATGATATTAAATATTCTGAAGAACAAACAAATCAATTGTCCCAATTGGTCACTTTTGATTTCCCCCCTTATTTGTAGTAACAATTGATAGTGTCTAAGTTTCCCAAATATGTCAATCTGACAATATGATCATTTTATTTGTAATTTATCATATATGAGAAGCCTTCAAAAGGTTCATGGAAATGTATATAATAAAAAAACCTATATGTGGATTTTAAATTTAGTTTTTGTACCAAAGCCTTTGAGGAGTAGGTTTTTAGCATACTGGTTAACACTTTGGTTAAGATGCCCATGTCTCCTGTCAGAACACCTGGGGTTGATCTTTTGACTCCATCTTCCTGCTAATGCAGACTCCAGGAAGACACAGTGATGACTCAAGTTATTGGGCTCCTGTCAGCCACGTGAGAGACCTACACTGAGTTTCTAGCACCTGGCTTGGACCTGATCCAACCCCAGCCATAATGGACACTTGGGGAGTGAACCAGTGAAAGGGCGCCCTTAGCCCTGTATATCTGCCTCTCACATAGATAACTTTTTTAAAGATTTATTTTATTTATTTGAAAGACAGAGTTACAGAGAGATGTATAGCTAGAGAGAGAGAGAGAGAGAGAGAGAGAGAGAAAGAGGTCTTCCATCCACTGCTTCACTCCTCAAATGGCTGCAACAGCAAGAGCTGAGCTGATCCAAAGCCAGGAGTCAGGAGCTTCTTCTGAGTCAGACATGAAGGTGCAGGGGCCAAGGACTTGGGCCCATCTCTATGCAGAGAGCTGGATCAGAAGTGGAGCAGCTGGGACTTGAATTGGCACCCATGTGGGATGCCAGTGCTGCAGGCCAGGGCTTTAACCCACTGTACCACAGCACTGGCCCCATAAATAACTTTTTAGAAATATATTTGTTTATTTAAATATAGTTATTTTTAAAATTAATCTTTTAATTCCATTTTCCATGAACTGTTTGTGGTACCCTCATATTAGTAGCTAAAACAAAAAGAAAGCCATTACTTCTATGTACCGATAAACATAGGGTTGTACCAGAAGTCAGTGAGAAATAAGGAAAAATACATGGTTCTACATAGCTATGACTAGATGGGTGGACACTCTGCCTTCATTTATGTATCATGCCACATACTAAAAAGTATCCACCATGTGTTAAGGTACAGTTGGAAGGCAGGTGCTGCTACAGAAATCCCATGTGTCTGTGTTGGCTGAATGTTAGCAGCGCTCTCTGTGGGCTTAGAAGCTTAATCATAGCAACAACAGAATCAGAAAGCATTTGTTAGGGCTAGACAAAACAGATATCTGTGTCCTAGGTGGTTTAACTCATTATGTTTAATCCTAACAAAAATACAGAGCAAAAACAAGGCAGCATTTAGCTTGGTTTCTACCCATAGGGAAAAATCTAGCAATGGGGGCTTTCTTCTCTAAATGATGTGAAAAGTGTTAGCGTACACCTGTCTATGGATCAATCTTGAATTAATTTCACCTGTACCTAAGGCTGCTCCCTTGAGATGGTCACGTTGGTGGAGACCTTAAATGATGACTCTAACTTGGCCATTGGGAGAAGAAGGTTCTGTGCATTCATAGCACATCAAATGGACTTTGAGAAGAATGGAGGCGTGAAGCTATGTGACACATTCAGGGAGTAATTCAAACACGCCTCACAGTTCCTCAGAGCCCCAGTACCCTCTCTTGGTCTTTGCAAAGATAAAGCAAAAACAAACACACCTGTTTGCCCCACTTGTGCTGGCATTTTATTCAACCCTATCAGCTGTTTTATCTAGTATGATTTTTTTTTTTTTACAGGTAGAGTTAGTGAGAGAGAGAGAGAGAGAGACAGAGAGAAAGGTCTTCCTTTTTCCATTGGTTCACCCTCCAAGTGGCTGCTACAGCCTGCATGCTGTGGCCGGTGTGCTGCACCGACCCGAAGCCAGGAGCCAGGTGCTTCCTCCTGGTCTCCCATGCGGGTGCAGGGCCCAAGCACTTGGGCCATCCTCCACTGCACTCCCAGGCCACAGCAGAGAGCTGGACTTGAAGTGGAGCAACCGGGACAGAATCCGACGCCCCGACCTGGACTAGAACCTGGGATGCCAGCACCGCAGGCGGAGGATTAGCCTAGTGAGCTGCGGCACCAGCCCTTAAGGTATGATCTTTTTAAGAGACACCAACAGAATTCTAATTTATAAGACTGCTGGTGTATATAACTTTTCTGTTCTATCTTGGAATATTCCAGTTAAGGTTTTTGTAATCCTGTGGTCTTTTTTAAAAAGCATTTCTTTATCTGAAAGAGTGACAGCAAGGGAGGGAGATACAGAGTGAGAAAGAGAGATCTTTAATCTGTTGGTTCACTCCTGAGGTAGCCACAACAGCCAGGGCTGGGCCAGGCCGAAGTCAGGAGGCTAGAACTTGTTTCAGGTCTCCCAGGTAGGTGGCAGGGACCCAGATACTTGTGCCGTCTTCAGCTGCCTTCTCAGGTACGTTAGCATGGAGCTAAATTGGAAGAAAACAGTTGGGACTCACATATGAGATGCTGGCCAAGTGACAGCTTAACCTGCTGTAACACAATGTTGGCCTAGATCTGGTGGTCTTGGTCAAAAGGCTATTATATTTTTTCAAGATTTATTTATTTGAAAGAGACAGAGATCTTCTATCCACTGGTTCACTCCCCAGATGGCCACGATGGCCAATGCTTGTCTAGACCAAAGCCAGGAGCCAGGAGCTTCGTCTGGGTCTCCCATGTGGGTGGCAGAGGCCCAAACACTTGGGTCATCTTTCTTTGTCTTTCCCAGGCCATTCACAGGGAGCTGGATCAGAAGTGGAGCAGCTGGGACTCAAACCAGCGCCCATATGGGATGCCAGTGTCTCAGGTGGCAACTTTACCCACTATACCACAATACTGTCCCCTATTATATTTTTAAAGCCACTATTTATACTTAAAATACACTGGTGATACTTTTTGTATTTATATAATTCACTTCCATCTGTAATTTGTGTAAGTTCTAAAGGATAGCGAACTTTGATCTGCAATCAATATTCTCATTTTTAAGATAGCAAGAAAGTGAGATGATAAGTTGACTTCTGAAGAAGAGAGAAAATCCAGAAATCATTATAACTATAAATTATTGATGTTCCTTTCCAGATCCAACAGAGGTAGTAGCATCTAGCCTTAAACTCTTTAGCCACACCAATATGCCATAAATAATCAAGTGTATTTAACAGAATCTATGACTCACAGTTGCAACCAATAATTTTATTAATATCAATTAGGGAAAAGTCCACCTTCCTCTTAACTTCCTACGTGAACAAGTCTGAATAACTCTAATTTTTATGTGAAGCTGGAAGAAAGCTCAAGAAAGAGGCAGTGCAGACTTCTGGCTCTTTTGCATGTGACGTGAGTATAACTAGTTGTCCCGTCCTGAAGAATATGGTACAACTGCAGTCATTGTGCAATATCTGACTTCTCCTTCGCCTAACAGGATATTCAGGCACCTGTCCCTTTAAGTAGTTGCAGTCTCAGTGAATTGTATGAGTGCAGCTTGATCTACAGGATTCTGCATTTTGAACCATTCTCCTTCCTCTCTTGGCATTTTTCTCATTCCCAAAGACTCTACCTGCAAAGAAGGGATTTGTGGAAACCACCGCAGCCTGTACTTCCCCAGTTATGTTTCAGGGAGAGGGTCAGGGTCCGTTTCTAGCTATAAAATTATAGAAAAAGGTCAGTTTCTAGCTGACCTCCCAACCAAAAGGAAGTACCAGCTGTGTAATTTGTCCAGGAAACTCTAATCTGAATATTTTAAAGATGTACAAGCTTGATAACCTCATAAATATCAACCAGGTCAATGATGTTTTCTGTGGTAACTACTGTGCATATTTCCACCATGAAATGTACTTTTAAAATTACTGAATCAATGGAAAGAAAAGATCAGTATCATCTAAGTAGAATTTCACATTGCACCTCAGAAATTCAAAACTGATTTTAATCATCAGTGGAAGTCTATCCAGGACATATGTCCTGGTTTACATAATATAGTCTGACATAATATAGTCAAGGGTATTCGTTTAAATAAGCTTTCACATAAATACAGTTACCTATGAATGCCCCTAAGATTGGTGCTTAGTTTTCTTGGTCCAATCAATCTGTCTGATTCTAGAATTTATTTGCTGCTCCAATAGTACAAGTTGGAGTATATATAAGTCATGCTATGTCCCCCCTCCCACTCCGTCTTGGGAATCCAAGTCATTTTCAGATTTATAACATGGCCTGAATGACATAGATTCCACAGTTACAAGCTAGAAATCACCTTCTCAGTTATGTACAGAACTTCCTAAAGCTTAGGGTTGGGGTACACTGAAATTTGTCTTATCTTCATAGCAACCTGCAGCAAATGAAAGCAGGTGCACACATTGATGGGACCAGGGATTTCCGCTTTCCCCAGCTCCTCCCACAAACCTGAGGACTAAGAGTATCAACATCTTGGTACACTGAGGATCTACTCTCAGGCACATAGGTTCTTTATTTGAAGCTATTTTAATAGCTCATCCAAGCAATCCATTAAGTGGCCCAGATTCTCATCACCTGTAATCAACCATCACATGTTATGGTAGAAGAAAATCCTTGGAGAGATGTCGCTCCCCCATTTCGTGGAGGAACGACACAGGACCCTGCGCTGTTCTTTTGTCTGCTCGGCCCTCCCCGGGTTTGCTGCTGGTTCTTCCCGGGTTGGCTACCGACCCTTCCACCTCCGTGGAAGGGCGGTTCCCCCTGCCACTTTCCCCACTTCCGCAGGGGAGCGGCACACCGCCGGCCGGCTCTCTCAGGGGCTGCACAGGTGTTCCCTTAGATGTTCCCCTTAGATGTTCCTGGTGCATGCTATCTCTCTCCTCCTATATAGTCCTCCTCCGCGAATCCCAACTCGGCTGCCCACACGCTGAGTACGCTGCTCTCCTCCAATCAGGAGCAAGTCCTACAGTTTATTGGCTGAACTGGAGGCAGCTGTGTAGAAGCTGTTTCCTCCTCTCCCAGCGCCATATTGTGGGAGAGCAGATGCATAGAGTAAGTCTTAATTCCAGTAACTTAGTCCAGTCCGGATTGCTCCCCACAGAGAGACCATTCAATTCACACATGAGACAACCAAGAGTGAAGCAGTAGTATGATAGAGTAGGGAAGGGAGGGACTTTGGAAAGAGCAGTAGGTTCATTTTGTGGTTGCTGTTGAGTACATCCACAACCTCAGGCATGTACTAAGCCACTTGGAGTCTCCCCACCCTCCTCTGCAAAACGGGGATAATTATACTACTGTGGGGTCATATTTTAAGATTAATGTGCCTGAATAGCATCCCTGGTGTGGTATGGCACATGTAATTGATCGCTAATTTGCTAAGTGATTGACCCCATTTAAAGAATGAGATGTACAGCCTGAACTAGAAATCTCCACCCAGTGCATTGTTCGTGTATTGTGATGAACCTTTCCTTCTAAGTGACCCTTTCCTTCCATGTACCTGAGTCCACTTGTATCGTAGCTCACCTCTGCAATGGTTTTCAGTTCCCTTGCTACTTTAGCATAGCAAGGTAATCTGGGGGAGAGAGATTCTTTCCTAGTAATCCTGAACACAGTATGTGTAGGTAATTTATGGTTTCACAGCACTTTCACAGACTTGGGATCTCTGAAGAACCTTGAGGAATTTCTACAGATAGGTTCTGTCCACCTTCAATACATAGATGAGGCAGCCTCAGCCAAAGTCAAGTTTGGCAAAGTCCCATTGCGTGCTCGTGACAGGAGGCAAACAGAGATCTTCGGTCCCCAGTGTCGGGCTTCACTGCTTGAAGTGTCTCACTGCTGCATCTTGCAGCTGACTACAGATAAATGTGCTGATGGGTCATATTCCTAGCCACACTTTTAGGGACAGGATGTAAGTGATTAAAGAAGCAAGAAAGAGACGTGAGCTGATGGTGGAAAAGTTAGCTGAGAGGTGTGGTGGAAGCAGACATAACAAGAAACTGTAGTGCTAGGAGCTAGGAAGGCTTCTCCAGATGTTTTCAAGCCATCAGGTATAATTTTAATTCTCTCAAAGAATCATGTGATGTGAGGCCCCTGTGAAGTGGCAGGATGCCACCTAACAGTATCATACTTTGCCAGAGGCAGATCACATTTTTCTAGTGTTTAGAGAAGGTGAGAGAGTATTTTACCAAGCCTTACTTACCTCTTAATTAAACTACAAGTAGAAGTGAAATATACACACAAAGTTGAAATGATCAACTTTAACCAGATTTTGAGATAATCTTAATTAATATATGAAATAAAAATTTAAAAAGAATAAAGGAGTAAGCATTTGGTATACCGGTTAATAGGCTAGTTGAGATGCTCATGTCCCATACTGGAGAGTTTGGGTTAAAGTCTGGGCTCCACTCTAGATTCCAGCTTCTGCTAATTTATATACTGGGAGGTAGCAGTTCATGGCTCAGATAGTTCAATTCCTGCTACCCATGTGGGAGACCTGGAATGAATTCCTGGCTCTTGAGCATCTAGGGAATGAACCAGAGGATGCAAGAGCTCTCACTAGCTCTCTCTCTTTCTTTCCCTGCCTTTTAAATCAATAAATGAAAATGAAAAAAAAAAACCACTAATACATGCTATAATCATTTAGAGAACTGATTTATCCTGTAAGATTCCCAAATTTATATACCTTGTCTTGCAAACAGGAACTGAAAAAAATGAAGTTAAGGTTAATATTAAAAACATATTGCCTTATTTTGGGGAGTCTATGAACCAAGTTGAATTGTATCAAAATCAATGTGCAATTAAAAGTTGAGCCTTTGGGGTGGTGTTGTGGCCTAGTAGGGTAACCTGCCACTTACAATGCCAGCATCCAATATGGATGCTCATTTGAGTCCCCATTACTCCACTTCTGATCCAGCTCCCTGCTAATGTGCCTGGGAAAGCAGTGGAGATGGTCCAAGTCCTTGGGCTCCCAGATGACTCCTGGCTCCTGGCTTTGGCAAGGCTCAGTACTGGCCATTATGGCCATTTGGGGAGTAAACCAGCAGATGGAAAATCTCTCTATCTCTATAACTCTGCCTTTCAAATAAATAAAACAAATCTTTAAACAAAAAGTAGAGGATTGACTTAGTGAGTTGTCCCCAAAT